GAATTGAGGGTTTATCTGCCGGGCTGCTCCATCTATTGGTGGGGAGCGACACCTGCTGGAAACCGGGTCCAGCGTCCCATTGATACATCTTGCAACACAGCGACTTTCAATCGTTGTTCCCAGGGCTGTGGTCATTTCAGTTGTCAGTCTGGGGCTCCGTTAACCCACTGTGGTCATTTCAGTTGTCAGTCTGGGGCTCCGTTAACCCATGGAGCTGCCAGTAATACCCATCCCATCTTGGAGCGCCCCTTGTCTTATTTACACCGCTCTATTCAGCAGCCCCCTGATCATTATTACAACGTCTATTCCTGTAAAACCCTTTAAACCTTATACCCTTTCAAAACCCATGCATGCCACATTTTTGATCCTTAAAGCCCGCTGCGACGGAGAGCAGTACAGTGAGCCAAGGCAATTGCAGCACATCTGAATCTGTCTTGTATGTCACTGGGTGTGTAAGCGCCCTTGTACCGTAGACCGGTTGGTCGCCCATATCCGCTTCCTGTCTATTACTTCTGCAAATCAGCAGATTGTTACCAACTCTGAGTATGTCTCTGCCATTGCTGGTGAGCTGTATTTACTATTTCTTGTGGTTGCTTGGCCAGGCTTTACTTGTCGTTAGATGCTATCTGTGCTTCATCCACCCTTTGGCTGGAGAGGCTGATCCAGTCATTGTCCTGCAACTTGTCCCAGGGGGGCTGGGTTGGAGTAGGGGGGGTAGGGGTTTTCTGGCAGGGGAGGGGTCAGGGTGACGTACTAGCTTCCAGACCTGCGCCATCTTTCGGACCCCTTCCTTTTTCCCGTGCCTTCTCTGCATCCAGATGTGTACAGTTCGATCCTGAGAACCCCCTCCCTTCCCGCCCCCTCTCTGTCTATGTCCGATTAAAGGCACCTCGTTGGAGTCTGTCAATTCCTTTTTGTTTTGATTGAAAATGCATGGGAATTTTGTGCGCCTTAACGAGTGCGCTTGGAATTTGGCTCGGCAGTTAGAAATCCCGGAACTATCGGAATGCCGCGCGACCTTCCACGCGCGAATGTTCTCGGCCTCGACCTTGAAAACTTTGGGAATTCTAGTAGGAATATGGATGGACGGAAGACTTTCTTTCCCGTGCCTGTTTCGCGCGCGGATATGGTACTTTCAATTTTTGAATTAGCATAGGATTGGGAAATACTGCAACTGTCTTGGTGCCCATTCCCCTGTTGCCGATCGGCGCCATGCAAGCAAGCTCCCTCCTCCTTCCTCCCCGCGCTCCTTTCACCGTCTTTCTTCGCGCGCACACACTTTCTCGCTCCCTCCCCCTGTAACTGCTCTTCCCTCCCCTTCTCAGCACGCGCCTTTTTCTCCTTCTTGATCATCTGAATCTTGGACCCGTTTCTCGCTAACCTTCACGCTCTTCTTCTTCCCGCTCTAAGATCCGCCCTCGAAAACCCAGTCGATTCTCTCTCCCCATCTAGCCAAGGAGAAGCGCCGTGTAAGTTCTTATTGTGCGATGATTCTGATTGGCTGAGGTCGAGTTAGGAGGGATCAACATGACTTTCGACGGGCGGTCACTCTCAAGCTCCCCTATACCCACCTCTACCTCACCCTTTGCTTTTCTCCGCATTTCTCTCCCCTCTCGCAGCTATAAATTTCGCCGGCGCCCCCGCAAATCTCTCTCTCAACTCATCGGCCAGCTTCCGGGAAGTAGTGGCTAGATGATGTGCGTGGTGCGAGTCGGAAAGTCCTGATAAGCTGACTGTAGACTGGCAGGTGGTGCGCTAGATCGCCACGACGGACTGTGGGACTCAGGCAAGCCACGTCGAGACTAAGTTGGCGGGGTGACGATCGCAGCAGTGGAGGATGACACGCGACGGTCCGGATCATCAGTGTCGGAATGTGGACAAGTAATCTGAGTTGAGTGGATGACTGGCCCAGGTCCGTGTTGGAATTTGGTGGTAAGTGCGCCCTCTTTGTTGCAAATCTATTCTTTGGTGTGATTTTGCGGCGGTAAGGCCGGACCTTCTTTTCCTTTCCCTATCTCAGTGTAACTCTTCCCTCCGATCTCGATATCCCCGTCTGACTCTGTCTTATTCCTCCTTCTCCTTCTTCCCTGATGTGAATGATTCTGCATGATAAGTCAATACTGAGCGTGTGATGGAATGGGTATGATGACTGTGTGGTTGGAATGATTTCTTCTAAAACTCTTCCATTAGTTTTCAAGGTAGTGCCCGGATCTCGTGGGTTGGTCTTGTGAACGGTGGATGCGCGTGTATCCAACGCAAGGATTTCGCCCTTGACACAACCGTGCGGAGCATCGTATGGTTGTCATTTTCGCACCTTCCACAGTGAATGCATGTATGGGGAATGGGGATGAACAGGCACGAAACCCGTCTTGACTGAGATATTGCCAAGACAAATTGATGGCAGGGGCAATGTTATTGGGATTTTGTTCGGAAATGGAAGTGTGTTTTGATCTGTGGTCACTGAGGAGTGTTGCGAGCACCCCCGCCTGGAGTCCCTGACTCCCACGGCTTACCCCTTAAGCCACGTGTGATCTGGGCACGAAATAGCGGCCGCATCTCGCCACACATGAGTTTTTCTTTCTCTCTCCCCGAACCCTCTATTTCTCCTTTCTGGCCTTTTTTTTTTATTGGATTGCTAGGATTGCATGCATGCGACAAATGGTTAAAATATTCCTGGTTCTTAGTCATGTGGACTAACGGGCCCAACCCGACTGGGCGCCAGCCTCCCGTATCCCCTCTCCGCCCCTTCCCGTATAACGAGGACAAGACGCGTGTCTGTGAGTGGGACATACGAGAAGTCATCGCCAAGATCGGTGGGCAATATTACTTCCCTCCCGAAAATCGGTGTTCTGGGTTTGTCGGCGCTGGGTTTGTTATTGTAGATACGCACTTTCCGCCGTACTCGTTACTACTACCATTTAACAAGTTGATCGTCATCCCGTTGTCGGCAGTGGCGCCCCATTGGCCTAACACCTTGTGTAGTGATTGCCAACGCCTCGATCACTACCAATCGAAGGGGTTCCATTACCGAGCGTGGAACGAGGACGAGCACAAGGAAAGGGCCACGCAATTAAGACCGTCCACGTCGGATTCAAAATTATGTAGCGTGCGACGTTGGGAGCTAGTGCGAAAGCGGGATACTAAACACGTGCCCGCTCCCTTCCACTTCAAATGCCGAGCCGTGGCGCGGTGGGAGGTCCGACAATATTTTCTGGATTGAATTTAAACTTCCCAGCGTCACGTATTCCGCGCGCCCCCCCCCTTAAAACCGCGTCGCAGCCAACCAGATCTCTCACTTCATCAGACCAACACGGGGGATTTCAGTTTCGTCTGTGTCCCCACACTCAACTTTCCAAAAATCCTTGGCACACCCCATCTTGTTATTTTTTCTGAACCCCATTTTTGCACCTTTAGCACTCCGAAAAAAAGGCAGCGCATGGCGTGAGGTTGGTATCGGAGCCGACACGTTGTAAGGCGGCCGCAAGCAGTGCGCCGCCTAAGATCTGCAGTTTTGGGACTTAGGCTCAGGGACAAGTCTGTGTTTTGATGGTACTCTCGTATGACCAGGCAGCAAAAATTAGGGGAACTCAGGGCACCCCTGATTCTGGGCACACTGAGCCTTACGAATAATCCTCAAAGATGGCGAGATAAGTGGCCACACTCGGCGCATCTAGCATCATTCCCGACCGTTTAGAGAGCTAGACTCGGATTGGCCTGCCGCGGAGAGGCATCGAGGGAACTAACTTCCTCGCAACGTTTTTGCGGCATAAGACCGGGGCCGAAATGAGGCCTCAATTTTTTGTCTATTTTTGGTACCTAAACTAAAGATGGGAGAAAAGATTGGGAACAGTAGGAGGGAAGAGAAAAACGTAATATCCCTTAGTTCCCTTATTTTTTGCCGCATTTAAATTTTGGGGAAAATACCTCGTTRTTTTATKTTTCCGGCAATGAAATAGAAAACCAGAGAAAAAGATTAAAAATGGTAAGGGAGAGAAGAAAAGAGAGAATTTCAACCATTTGATTAAACTCCCTCAGAATTCATTTTTGGTGAACCTACGGCTAATTCACTATTTCAGACAATAGAATTAAGGAAAAGGGAGAACGATTAAAAATGATGGAACAAACAAGAGCTAATGATTATTCGATGCCTGGTCTGGTTTTGCTTGGGATACCCAYCGTCAGCTCAGAACCCAGATTTGATCAAATTCCCTGAGCTCTAACTTTTTTTTGCTATCCCCCGATGATCGAAACTCTCTATGACGYGTCCCCTATTTACCTGATTACTAAYCTTACYGAGCCCGGCGGTACGGACGATGACCACATGGATATGGACAGCGTGGGATCGTGTTACATTGGACCGACARCATGATGTCAGGTTCRGTACCGGACATGTTTGAGGTTCGGCCTGAGCCGGTATCGRCWWACTTCAGGTTCGGGCACCAGGGTGATTTATTTCCAGGGTCGACATCATCACGGCTATTTATTTCAGGATCARCATCATCATGGCTATTTGTTTCAGGGCCGGAACCGCCACGGTGGCTTACTTTCAGGTCTGGAGCCACTATGACGATGTATTTCAGCTTCGGAACCTGGACRGCAGGTTATTCCASGTTCGGCGCTATCACGGGTATTTAACTCAGGCTCGGCACCATCACTGCGGCCATTTATTCCAGGTTTGGTGCCACTATGGCGGTTTATTTCAGCTTTGGGACCACTACGCCAGTCTATTTCAGGTTCGGGATGACTACGCTGATGTATTCACCACCGCGACCTATTTTCGGGTTCGGGACCATCCCAAGGGGGTATYTCCAGGACCCGAACSACTACGGYAACTCATTTCAGGTTCSGCACCAGCGCTGCGGATTATTTCAGAYCCGGGGACACTATGTTGGTTTATTTTCAGGCCGAAACTACCTCGACGTTGACAAAGGTTCAGGTTTYGGTGATGATTTGGTATGGGTGCGRCACTMAGGTTCAGGTTTGGGATTACACCGGTGAGGCTACATTCCACGGTACACTATGGAACAGGGAAGGTTTGTTCAGGATCGGTGCGCCATCAGTGSGGTGTGGGTCACTRTATCATTATCAGATTTCGGTATAGGCATACCTGCTGCTCAGATGGYTGGAGCTCTCTGTGGCCTCATACGATWATCAACTGTGCGGCTCAGCCTTCAGGTCTGAAAAGGGAAATTGAGATTCCGAAGTACTGATCTGGGAATGGACATCAAGCGGGCGCAGTTGGGGGTGCCTGGTGCTGCGATTGACCGGGGGCCAGCCCCGAGCGGTTTGGGAACAGCGAAGGACTGTGRCCTTCTCTGAGCGMCCTGCGTGAAAACAAGGCCGAGAGTTGAACSGAAGGGGATATAGGGAGGAACCAGTCATTCTATAGGGGGGATGTGCACGGTGTGCCCAGCGCGATAGGCAGGCGGGGACAGTTGACAGACGGAGGATTCGGGAAGCATGCAAGGTGTACGCAGTGCACCGCAAAGTCGCAGGCAGTCACGGAGTGCGAGACGAGCTCGAGGCGGAGACATTGRCGCCCACGCGGTTACGCAGGAAGACGAAGGGAGAAGTGTTAATGAGGGTGCGAGTGTGGAAGAGRGATTTGGTTGATGACACRGCAGCRCACCAGCGCACTGAAGACWGGTATATGGGTATCGCTTTGTCATATGGTGAGAAGAAGCGRCGAGATACTTCRTTAAGGCTTTCTCTTTGCAGTAAGTACGAAATGCAGATCTGGTTAGACACACAATACTAGTGTGCGTATGCCGGGAGGGAACCAGAGTACTGAGGGAAGAGTGAGATTAGGTGAGAASGGAAGRGAGAAAATGGAGCYGAACTGRCCGCTGTCTCTTGCCAAGTACATTTTGAACWTTGAACTTAGATCTGCCCGCTAAAGCAGTGCAGATACATGGGCGATAATCTGGCCGTTTCAGCAGCTCATATACGTGGGAGAAAACGGGGCTGAT